ATCTGTACACCATCCCATCTGTCTGATAGAGAACTATGAGAGCCATGTGATTAGAAGACTTGCTCCCGGCCACATGCTGCAAGGGAAGGTGCTGGCCCTAGAACCTCAACTTCCTTCCTCAAGACTACTGCAGCATGATCCATGAGGAAGTGCTCTGGGAACCGGAAATGGTAAAGAATGAATCAAGTTGAGAACTCATCTACAGAGCAATAACAGGCACTATTTTGAAGCAGAACTCTCAACCACAGCCACCCAACTGGGAAAGGTGAGTCTGGTCAGGCAAACTTTCAGAGCATTTTGAAATGTGAAGAATTTCCAATGTCACTTATTGTTCTCGAGAATTTCATCAACCACAGTTTTATTGATGGTGGATTAGTAAATATCCCCTACAGTAGAATCATCATTTCTATTTCCTGCATGCTTCCTATGTGATTTCCATTTATTATTGCATTTGATCTTCTCACCCTTATGGCAAAATAATATTCCCATTTTCCAGGTGAGGAAAACTAAGTGCCAAAGTCCAGGGCACCCAACTAAGTGGGGTGTACTCACCCCCACCTCTGCACGCAAACACATCTCTCAGAGTTCTCTAGCTTTACTCCTCACTCTTGGAAATGGAACTTACTTGGTTTATTCTAAAACCACCTTCCAAAAGAGTTGCTTTTTCTTGTTGACTGGGATTTGTGAGGAGGCTCATGTGCCCCACCCTCCACCCCAATCTGAGAAGCCTAAACCACCAGAGGAAAAAGAAGCCATAAAGATCCATTTTCTCCTTGCATCCTGGGTGAAAGCAGCTTTATTTAGCACTGACCCCATGTCCTTTCTGAACTGTTGATCACAGGCAAGGCAGAAACACAGAGGGACCATCTTGCTGATGTCCTGCTCAGCCTGCGGATTCTGTATGGCCCAAGGAAAAATTGTCCTACAGGATGGAGCAGCTTCTATGCTTCTGTAGTATTCCGGGACCAGATGCATGGAGGGAGCACTGAGTTTAAAAAGTTAAATGGAAAAAAAAAGTTAAACAGATTTCTTTCTTGCTGCACTCTCCCAAGCCTTTAACATACCAAGTGAGTGGTGGATCTTCAAAACTGAGATGTCACTATGTACACCTGGCCAGGGAACCCAAGCCCTTTCTGAAAATCTCACCTTACTACGTAAGTACCTTCTTTCACCTCCCAGCTCTTATTCTAAATAACACATTGCCTTGAGCAGGCCACTTTCAGCTCTCCAATTCATATTCTTTCTGTGGCAAATAGGGGAGTAATGTTGATCAGAAATGGCAAAGAGGTTTGCACAGAATTCGTGTGCCAACTTGAATCAGACAGTCCCAGCCTCCAGGCTGGTGCAAGCAGAATTTTGATGCTGCCTATAGCCTTGGGGGAAAAGCTGCCATGTTAACTAAGGCACATTTGTCCCAATCCCAAGAGTCAGGCTGGCAGCCTGTGTATCCTACGCTGCCTGTCCCTGTAAGTAGATAATCCCCAAGGTCACCTTTGGCTTCCAGAGTCTGCTTTCGATACACTCAGTCCCCTGCCCTCATCCTTAAGTCTTAGGAGTCCTCCATCAATGAGACTGAAAGTGTCTCCTTTTCTCACTGTTTGCCTCAGCAACTGAGGCTGTGGGGGAATCCTGGTCTTTTTCTGTCTATGAGCCCATTCACTCAGCCCTGAGCATGCCCCACCTTGGTATGCTGATCTTGCTTTCCGCCCTCTATAGCTACACTCAGGCACTGAGAGGCACAGAAATACCCATGTATTGCACAGCCTTCAGGGGAGTTTGACACCAAAGTTTCTGTCCTACAAGTCCTGGAATACTGTAAGTCCTATACACATTCCTTGTCCCCAGAGCTAAGTGCCATTTTTATACCAGTTCATCCCCCAAAACAGCCAGTGTTCCAAGGAAAAGTTGCTATCCTTACTCAAAAGGGGTCCCCTAGAAGTGTACAGAAATCACCAAGCAGGGGACTTCTTTGAATACGGACCCCCCAACCCCTGTGCCCTCTTGCTGAGTGACACTTTCTGGAGGTGGGGCCTGGTTTTCTGTCTCATTTGGACGCTGAAGTTTGAGAACTGCATGACATCAAGAAAACTGTCCCCTGAGCTGGCCAGACAGGGGAATCTGTGCTAACAAGGCCCAATCTCACCACCATGAGATTGCCAGAAATCTTGGTTTCCCTGACCTGGCCCACTCGCTCAGGTTACCTCACTCCCCATCCTGCCTGCTGCCCCTTGGGACTGTTGTGAGGAATGAATTTGATAAGATATTTGCAAACTGCACCAGCACTCAGCAGTATCTAAAACATCAGTGTCCTTCCTTCCTTCCTCCTGCTAGCATGTAGCTTCTTCTCAACCCAAATCCTCTGCACCATGCCAAAGGTTCTAGAAATCTGAAGGTGGAGGGCTCCCATAATGACCCGAATCCAGTCTGCTCTGGACAGAAGGAAGAAGGAAGTGGTAAGAAGTGTAAACACAATGTTCCTCTGAGAGCTTCATGTCCTGGCTCCCACTGCATATTCCCCCTCTTCCTCCCCAGGGACAGCATGTTCCCCGAAGGGAGAATCTCCCCAGAACAGACAGCAAATATAGGCAGGCAAAAGGTTCTCTTCTGTTCATTACTGCTACCTATGTTGGAATGAGCACATAACAGTTATCTGGTGGATGGATGGATAGATGGATATATGGATATGAGGTGACATAAGGTAACTTAGAAAGAGACCTGGATTCTAATTCTGGTTCCAGTATTTAATGTCCCTAAAAGAAAAAAATTTATTATCCTTTCTGAGCCTATAAAACAACGATGTTTTATCCACCTCAGCTCCATCAAGGCAAGAATTTTCTTCTCAAATGGAAAGGCTACATAGATGATGGTACTTAGTAAGCTCTCAGATTGTACAAAAGTCACAGGGGCCAGGATTTAGCACAGTGGTTCCACCTCCTGCCATGTAAGTGCAAGGTCCCGAGTTCGATCCTTAGTAACAAAATAATAAATAAATAACTCTTTGTTAAAAAAAAAATGAAACAAAGTCTTTGTAGATAGAGCAGGAGAATAGGGTAAAAACAAGAGCCAAGATGGATTATGTAAAAGTGCAAATTTCTAATGATGAATGTCATTATGTTGTATACCTTAAATGTACCAATAAAATTAACTAATAAAAAAGTCAGAGATGATGATGATAGTGACACCACCCTGTGATGAAAGTACAGCTAGAGTGTCAGAGAGTGCCCAGATCTTGGAGATGACGGAAAAGCCTTTCATTCACCCCACCTTACCTGTGCAAGCAAGAAAGCAGCCGGGGCAGGAAAAACTCCAGCAAAATATGTACCAAACTGCATTCCCTTCTTACCTACCAGCACATTACCCTGAACTGATGAGCCCAGGCATTCACTGTGGAGGCCTTGAGAAGGTGTGGGTGGACCCCAATATCTCCATTTTGGCAAAACAACTAAGAACAGGGCCCAGATGGCCTGGAATCAATGCCCTCCTACAGACAAGGGTTCATAGAGCCAGAACATCAGGGCTGGCAGACGCCACCATGAGGCTGTCTAGTCCCATCCCCTCATTTTGTGGAGTCAATATTACAGTCTTCTTGGCACAGATTAATAAAAGCAACTCCTCCACCCCCAGATACCTCACTAGGCTCCGCTGAAACACTTATCACTTAAAGAGGGAACAAAATCACTTTTCCAAGAAGACAAATGCTGATTTATTAATTAATTACCCTGAGGGGGTCCTGCCAAACTGTAGGCAGGGAGCAAGAGTCTAGAGAAGCGGAGATGCTCTGAAAGGAGATGGGAGCACTTGACTCACACTCCAGGGGTGAGAGGTGACACTTCCAGGTCGAGACTGCAGGGCATACATTGAGATTATCTCTGCACATTTGAAGCCCAGCAGCCAGGAGAAACAGAATTGGGAACTTGTGGAGTTGCTCCAGAGACTACAGAATCAGGAGAGCCACCAAGGAAAAGCTCCCAGTCTCAAACTCAATATCCTTGGGCATTACCTTCTCTTCAGAACTTCTCCACACACACATAAGCACGCACGCACACACACACGCACACACACATAGAATCTACCTAGTGCCCAGATCCCTCCAGACAATTTGTTGATAGTCTTTTATGCCCTCTTGTAAAGATGAACCTCATTTCCATTTCCCAGGAGGACATACAATCTGTGTTGTATCGGTACCATTGGATTTGGAGACTAGAAAGCAGCCCTATAATCGTGGGGCAGCATGGGCTTTCCCTAGCCCGCAACACCAGATGGCCCAGGCCACCAATCATCCCTGGACAGTAATACAAGGCTGGTGCAAGAGATGAGTAGAATCTCTGAGAATGGACGCTGGCACAGGTTGGGCCATCTCCTGTTGGAAAAGATTTGCCAATCAAGAAGTTGAAGGGAGCCCTGGAGACCACTCTGGACATCTCTGAGTCGGGGAGAGGGATAGGGCCACCATGTATCCAGCAAGGGGTGAGTGGGGCTCAAGTAGTTGTGGATGTGTCCCAGCTCTAGGCTGCATCTGCCAAGAGAAGGGACATTTTATAATTCATATAAAGGTGCAGAATGGGCCAGCCACAGTGCAAGTAAAAGAGGTGGAAGGTGGGGGATAGAGACCTCTCTATGGGGAGATTCTGTTGTTTCTGTAGACATCAAAGAGGCTGGATCTGCTTACATGACAGGGTCTATGTGTGTTGTAGCAGGGAAGGGGATGTAGCCATGAGAAAAAGTCAAGGAAAAAAGCAATGGATAGAAAATCAGAGCCCATCAGCTCTGGGCAGAGCTCTAGAGAGAGTCCCCGTGATAATAAGCAAGAGATTTATGTCACACACACACACACACACACACACACACACACACCCTAGCCTTCAGGTCCTCAGTGACACTCATGGGAGCCCTAGGTGACAGCTTGGGCATCCCCAATCTCTGGACTCAGGTCCATCACGAGTGCCAGGCTCATTTGAATAGGGCAGAAGCCCAACCAAGTATATGAGACAGACCTGGAAGTGGGGCAGAGGCAGCGGCTCCACGGCGCTGACTCAGTCTTGATCAGTTCTGTCTCGAGGTCTCACTGGCTGGCATCCCTCTGTTTTAATCTGATATGTAGATATAAATATAGATAATTTAGAAGTAAGGAACCCTGTGTTCTTTCAATGTCATAGTAGGTTGTGGTCTCCCAGACCTGCCTGACAGTCATACGCCTTCTGGGGTAGCATCACATAGTCTGAGCCTACTACTGAGAAGACCCAGACTGGTTAGGTGTTGTCACTAGAGAACTGATCCAGAGCTGCTGACTTGTGTCCAGTGGAGAATATAGCACTGAAGGTTATGGTTTAATTGCCCCTCCGGATATTAACCAGCTGTGTGTCTAATATAGCAATCTTATTCCAGCATTTTTCCCATTAACATGTATATATACATACAGGCATATGTTTTTTCATATCCTATTTTCAACTAGGATTATCGTCCTTCTCATTGCCTCATTTGCAAATTGAATAAATCTTTATATATTTGTAAGCTAACTATGTTTTTAACACTTTAAAGTTGTGACTCCAATGCTAACGTGGACTGGCCTTATGTCTTTGGCACCCAACACGCACTACCTCGCCCAGCTGAATGGAGTATCACAGCACCTCTCATCACCTGGCCTGCGTCCACTGCACCAGTCAGCATCTGTCCAGCTTGGACAGGGCCTTGGGCTTGATCCTGGCCTAGCCCGGTGAGAGGAAGGGAGACACCAGGTAGGTGCCAGGATCCAGCCACACTGGCCCAGCGGCCTGGAGTCCCAGATGGGGAAACTGAGAACCAGCAGAGCACCATGACATGGCCTTCCCATAGTCCCCCGCACAGCCTAGGATACCCCCAGGGAGAGAGTGGTATCTCAGGCTCTTCCCTGGCTCCACTTCCCTTAGAGGGAAGGAAGTCTCTCGTGTCAATGCAGAAGCATCGTGGCCTCTCCTTATTTGCCTGTACAGAGAATGTCATGCTCATGCAGCCCTATGTGGCTAAAGTGGACATCAGAGGAGAAGGACAAGAGCTGGAGGACTACTGGAAATACAAGAAGCTCACATGCAAGGGTGCCAGCAGCACCTGCTGAGATGTGTGAGGAGTGAGGATTTGCCCTTTGATGGTGGAAAAATAAGACTCTGACACTTGATGAAGGTGCTCATTTTTAAAACATTAAATGTGTACCACAGGAGGGATGGAGGAGGAGAACAGGTTTGTCACTGAAAGCCACAGGTTTGCAGCCCCAGCCCGAGCAAGGGCCCAGCTGGGGCCCTGTGCGCTAAAGTGGCCTGAAGCCAAACAGCCTCATGCTCCCAAGGCCCAGACAGCCACAAAGTAGTCTGAATCCTATTTCCTCCCCAGCTGCTGGCCTGAGAGACTCCTGCCTCCCTAGTCCTTTCCTCAGAGTAAAAGGAAGACAGCCGTACAGGGGAAAGCCCTACTGCCAGGGACCATGATGCCCCAGTGTCAGGAAGTGCCATGCTGCATATCTCATAGCCTCTCAATTAAAGTCTGAGTCCCCAGAGCCAGCCCTGCTCCTGTAGGATGTCAGGATGGATGTAGTGCAAGGGAGAGCCTATACCAGCCACATAGTTGTCCTCAGTGCTGCTGCAGGGCCCGATGACAACCTTGACCCTGAGGCCAAGGGAGGGAGGCACTGCTGGTGCCTGGCTGAACCCTGGGCCAGAGAGCAAGAGAACTCCAGAATTCCAAGAATTTCTCGTGGTGGCGCCTATAGCCCACTGTTGGGGGCGTTGCTCCCAAGAGTCCTAAAGGATGGTTTGCTCCCCTGCAGGGCGGCTTCTCTGGAGAGAGGAAGACCTCAATAGCAGCCATTCACCAACGCGGCTGATGCCTTTGGGAGATTAGGCCAGGGTAGTCTGTCCAGTTGGCCAGCCACAGCTCTGCGGCAGCAGGCAGTAGGTCAGGATGGAGCAGAGGTGTTTCCTGGGGCTGAGACCCAAACAGCAGGGCTCCAAAGAGATCATGGAGAGTATAGCATGGAGGTATCCTCTCCTCACAGGCTTTGATCTCAGGGGACAGAGGACAGGCCTGGCCTTCTTTCCAAGCCGGGCTGGTGGTAACAGCAATCCTGCCTCACTTCAGAATGGCTTTGCTACCTTTGCTAATTTGGAGTCTGGGGCATTGTCCCCATTTTACAGATGCAGAAACGGAGACTCAGAGACTACTATGACCAAGGCTTCCTCACACTGCAACACATACCCGGGGATATAAGGCACAATCAAGAATCTTCTTGTTTCTTCTCAAGAATCAAAAATGTTCTCTATTACAGATCTGTTTCAGAGGGAGAAAGAAACTGAACAGGCTGGGTTTGCCCCCTGTGCAGTCTTCCTTGGTCCCTTTCCTTCCAACTTTACCATGGGACTGGTTCTGGGGTTTCCAAGACCAGAGAAGGAGGGCTGGGGAGAGGGTGCTGGGTCCCTGAGGAAGGACACCTGTCCTCCCCAGGGGTGCTCTTGCCTTCCATCCTCTCTTCAACCTTGGTGGTTGGCCACTCACAAGTGACCGTCCCAGAATGTAAGACTGGGCTCAGAGCAGCAGAATCTCAGGTACTGGGGGTTGGTCACTCAAAAAGTTACCAGCCCCTGGCAATGAAATAAACCAGACAAAAAAAGAATAGTTCTGTATGATTGCATGTACATGAGGGACTTAGAGGGGTCAAATTGATAAAGATAGAAAGTAGAACAAAAGTTGTCAGGGGCTAGGGGGAGAAAGGCATAAGGAGTTAAGTGTTTATTGGGTGGGAAGTTTCACTCGGGGATGATGAAAAGAGATCTGGAGATGGATGGTAGAGAAGGCGGCATGGCATTGTACTCGATGCCACTGAACTGTTTTGTTGGTGGTGGTGGTGGTGGTGGTGGTATTGGTGGTTCTTGAGACAGGGTTTCACTATGTAGCCAAGGCTGGTCTCGAACTTGAAGTGATCCTCCTGCCTTTGCCTTCCAAGTGCTGGGATTATAGGCTTGTGCCACCATGCCCAGCAATGCCACTGAATTGTGGCACTTAAAAATGATTAAAATAGAGCTGGACCTGGTGGCACACACCTGTAATCCCAACACTCTGGGAGCCTGAAGCAGGAAGACTGCAAGTTTGAGCCCGGCCTAGGCAATTTAGTAACTTGTCCAGATGCTGTCTCCCATTAAAAAGGAAAAACAACAGCCTGGGGTTGTAGCTCAGAAGGAAGGCCCTGGGTCCAAGCTCAAGATTAAAAATATATGAAAGTATATATTTCATGTAAAATATATCTTACTACCATCAAACTATTTTAGTAGAATAAGTAATCCGGCTGCCCCCATCTGTTAGTGACCTGTGTCAGTTGCCTAGTCCCAGTGTCCTCATTTGTGGGAAGGGCTCCATTTGGGGACTCTTGGTAGGAGGGGAAGTGGGGGACAGGAAGACAAGAATAGCCCAGCCTGGCTGCACTCACACAGCAGGAAGAAAAGAACACCAGGAGTAATTACAAACACACAGGGCCTGGGTTTGCCATGGGAACCGCAGCACGCGCGCCACACAGCCCTTTTGTGGGAGTCACCGTCCATCTGCTTCTGGGAAAGCAGGCAGCTGCCAGGGGGCTCAGGGGCACTGGGCAGGGGTGAGGCCCAGTGAGTCCCTGCTCTGCTCCCTTGGGCACAGAGCCACACTGAACTCTCCTTCCCCACGTGTGTGATGCAGATAACAACTCCCCCATTCCCTCGGAGATACTGAGATGGGTCAGTCCTGGGAAGGCCCATAAAGGGTCACACAAATGTCATCTCAGTGGTCGACTATCCATAGAGCCCACAGAGCCACTCATCCTGGGAGTCAACAGGGGTCCTTGGTGTCTAGGCACTGGCTCTCTCTCATCACTACATCACTACATCCACAGCCAAAGAAGCACCTATCACAGTGTCCACTCTGGGATGTACCCAGCTAGGCCAGTACTTCTTCCCCAGGCCTCTGGAGGGCACTGTGGCTCAGGAGGCCTGGAGAGAACCCACTAGTCATTGGGCTACTCTAGCCCGATCTCTTGATCCCTCTTTTAGTCTCACTCTCCTCATGTACCTGGAGCACCAGCCCCCTTCCTGGTAAATATCAGGATGAAGGACCCCAGTGGAACCTTAGCAAGAACTCTAAGCTCTGGAGATGTGCACTGTTATTCCCAGTAATAGTGTCTAGCTCAAGGCCCTGGAGGCTCCTGATAGAGACGCCCCTCACAGGGGTTCTAAGAGTGGGACACAAATGGGGCAGAGGCTCTTCTGCTCACCTTGGTGCGTGGACTGAAAGACTGAGGGGACCCTCTTGTCACCTTTCAGAGTATTTATCCCACCCTGTACATTATCCTCCTACCCCACATATACACATGCAGCTCCAGGTTTCCAAGCAGGAGGGTCCCCTCAGTCACCAGTGCTGATGGTGGTGCCATTAGGAGGCTGTGGAAAACAAAGGGAGAGTAGAACGTGCTGCAATGAGAAAGCTCCTTTCTCCTGTGCCCCCAGTGGCTTCTTGGACACCACTGAGCCCTTACATAATAGCGCTGCAGTACAGTCAGAATGAGGGAAATGTGGATTTGGGCCTTTCAAAATACACAGGGTGTAACAGTACTGATAAAACAACTCAGCCAGAGGCAACAGAAGGTTTTTGTTTCTGCAGCCCAAGTAGGACAAGGTTCAGCTCCTTCCCACTGCTACCCACCTCCAAGTCCCAAGAGGGGACCCCCCACACAACCACTCAGGCCATTCCACTGAGTTGGGTTGGCCTTGAACTTGGAATTCAGACATCTGCATGCTAGTGTGTTAACAGGGCTTAGTTCTCCCTGTGGCGACTCTTCCAGGTTGGCAGTCAGTTAGAATGAAACATGAGGGATGAGCCTAATCGTGGCCCCACACAGGAAGATGGAGATGACAAGAATGCCCTTTGTGTCACAAAGCACCTTTTCTGGGCTGTCCTGTGCACTATTCCTCGAGGTCCCCACTAGGGAACTCTGGGGGTGTGGTGGCAGGCTTGTGGCTCCTGGCTGAGCAATGTGGAACTGTCGGGAAGGACTGGAGTGGCTTTGCTTAAAGATGCCCAGCAAGCAGGGGCAATGTCAGCACATCCCAGCACCCATATCCCAGCCAGGCTCTCTCTATCCTGCTGCCCTGATCAGTGATCCCTCAGGGCCCTGTGTGAGGACCATGAGTGCCTCTGGACTGGGCCTTGGCTGGGGCATGCCACACTCCAGCTTTTGAGGACTTATCGGCAACCTCTAGTCACTAGCTGCTGCCTGTTGGGTACAAGATGTCAGATGGGTGTTGATGCCCATGATATCATCTAACCATCACAAAGAACCTGTTTGTTCAAAACCCTCTTTTTGATGTAAATCCTTCCAAAATATTGGATCTCCTTTAACTGCTCCCTTCACTAGAGAGCACTGAGGACCCAGCATGGGTCTGAGTTATCCCTCAGATGGAATTTCATTGTCAGATCCTCCTTCCTGGCCCAGCCTGTGCCACCCTTGCCCTACATTGAAGCCCATGTTCCTGCCTGCAGTGGGCCCCCTTGCTGGCCAGGGATGTGCTAGGTTCATTCCTGTCTTCCTTACCCCATCTCCCCAGAATGTGCCCCTTTCTTGTATCCAACTCCCATTAGTACCCCAAAGTCCTCCACTGAACTTCTGCTCCCTATGCTCCAACAGCTCGTGGACCTTGTCTTCCCTTGCTCTGTAGGATGTCCTGCTGCCTTGTGTGAGCCTCTGATCACATCACAATTGAGTCTTGCCACCTAGAGAATGGCCCAAGAGAATGACAGAGATGACATCTTATCCTGGTCCTGGATCCTCTTAGCACTTGGCATGGGGCAGAGCCTCACCCACACTTGACTGTCCAGGATCAGAGATGGAGAAGGGGTGGCCTGGGGCCAGGAACATCTTCCAATCTTGAATCTAAACATGATTTTTTTTCCCTACACCAAGATCAGAAAAAGTATATCGAGGCCTCCTTCTTGAATCTAAACATGATTTTTTTTCCCTACACCAAGATCAGAAAAAGTATATCGACCCCTCCAGTTTCTTTCTTTCTTTCTTTCTCTTTCTTTCTTTCTTTCTTTCTTTCTTTCTTTCTTTCTTTCTTTCTTTCTTTCTTTCTTTCTTTCTCCCCATGCTCCATTTCTCCTTCTATGTCTCTCTCTGCCTCTCTCTCTCCCTCCCTCTCTCTCTCTCTCTCTCTCTCTCCCTCCACCATTTTTCTTTCCTTCCTTTCTTTCTGCAATACGTGGGATAGAACCCAGGGCCTTGAACATGCTGAACAAGCTCTCCACCACTGAGCTACATCCCAGCTTTTTTTTTTTTAAGAAAAGGATTTGCTAAATTGCTCGGGTTGGCCTTGAACTTGAAATCCTCCTGCATTAGCCTTCCAAGTACCTAGAATTACAGGTGTGTGTGCCACTGTGCCCAGCTAAGTTTTCATGTCTATAAAATGGGAATAACGCTATCTCCCTACCCTTCCCCATGGAGATAAGGACAATACGTGAAACCCTTAGCACAAGTATGCTGCATTGAAATTCCAGTTATTCTTTGATTTCTTCCTTCTGTCAGAGCAGGGCAGGAAGTGGGAATTCTGATGATTAGATGACCCTGAAAAGAGATGCTCTGGAGGAAGAGAAGTAGCAAGGCCTTTTTTAGCTTCTCCCCCTTGAAGGTTTCAGAAACTCCTCTGTCCTCAAAGGCCCTTTCAGAATCATCTCCAAGTCTGGGGTCAGAGGGAAGGCGTAAAGGGCCAGTAGCTCTCTCAGGAAGGGTTTCTTGGTGTTCATTTGTAGTAGATGGGCCCAAAGGAGCCTGGGCCACGCCCTGAAACAAAGATTTAGGAAGAAAAAGTAAAAAAGTCTCCTCAGCCTCCTGAGATGTGCATGTGAAGTTTTACTTTATCCAGTGGAACCTGGAAGAAAAGCTGAACAGAACAAAGTGAGGTGGCCTAGAAAGCCACCCTTATCTCAAAAAGGAGGTGTTTCCAGGTCAAAATCATCTGGCCGAATTGTACATCAGGGTGGGAGAGGGGAACAACACTTCACTGTCCAATGGAGGGATTCTGAAGCCTCTGTCACCTCTGCTGAACTTCAACCAGACCTTCAACATTCCCTGGAAGCTGTCCTATCTCGCTCCCTTCTTCCTACACTTCACACTGCTTTCTCCTGGTCCTGTCTTCTCCTAGCATATGTGCACACATACAAGCACACACCAGGCTTCTACCCCCCACCCTTCTTGCTTTATTCTGCTCTTCCACCAAGTCCTTGCAAAGTTGGCCCCTGCTTCAGCCTCACCCCCATGGGGACGCTGCCATCTTGAATACTCCCCAGTTGGCTCATGGGTATGACCATCCACAATTTCACACCTTGCTGCTGCTGCTTCTTCTTCTTCTTCTTTTTTTTTTTTTAACTGGAGACCAAACTCAGGACCTTGTGCTTCCCAGGCAGGTGCAGCACCACTGAGCTATATCCCTGGTCCCTATACCTTACTTCTTGATACAATGACAGATTTCTTGTTTCCCACACAGTACCCTCATTGAGGACGGTGGACTTTTAGGTCACAGAAGCTTGCATTCAAACCCTATTCTGCCACTCAGTTGCATGAACTTGGGCAGCTAGCTTCGTTTCTCTGGACCATAGGTTCTTGATCTCAGCATAACACTGAATCACATGATTAAATGAGATCAAGCAAACCACATAAGTACCTGGCATATAGAAATTATGATAGTTTTGCATTATTACATGTCATGTGCTGTTCTAAACTCTACATGTATTAATTCCTCTAAATTCTCCCAACATCCCTATCAGGCAGATGTTATCATCATCCCCTTTTAAACATGAGGGCACTGAGGTTCAAATAAGTCAAACAACTTGCCCAAGGTCACATACATAGTGTATGGCCAATCTGGGGTTTGAGCCTAAGTGTTCCCATTCCCAGCTATGATCTCGAACCTCACAGTAGACTGAGTATACACTTGCTGCTTCCCTTCTTCATTCATAGCCAGGCCTGGCATGAAGTAACCACTTCATGACTCACTATGCAACTGAACAAGACACAACTCCACAGAGTTTGAGAGCAGAACTCAACTGCCTTAGGATGAAATCCATCCGGCCTCTCTTGCATGGCCCGGGAAGCCAGGGACAAAGCCCAGTCCACACTTTGACCAAGATGACTCAATATCTATTCCCACCAGGAAGTTAAGGACACTTGTGGGGTGCTTCCTGCTCCTGGATCCCATGACCAGGCCTTGTACTAGAAATGCTAGGTTCCTACCCAAAGGCCCTGAGTGTTTAGGATGGTGATATGGGGAGAGAGGATGGGTAGGAAGGAAGGCAGAGAGAGGAAGAGTGTGTGCTTCATCTAATGTGTTTTATTCTCTCTTTACCGTAAGCCAATCTCAGCCAACAGATAGACATAGGTAGGCAGGCCCAATTTATGTCTGAGAATGACCCACTTAGTGATTTTCCAAAAACCTAGCCTGGGATGGACTTCTTTGCTCCAGCAAAAGAGTTTATGGAAGTTATCCAGGGAAGCAGAGGAGATCTAGAGCCCTGGTTCTCCACTATTATTGTGCATCAGAATTAACCATGTAAATTTTCAAGTGTAACCAAGAGATTCTAATTCAATAGCTCTGGGAGAGGCCCAGGAAACTCCCCAGGTGAGGGCTGTACCTAGAAGATCATACATGGAGAGTCATTGACCACAAGAAGTGGTTTTCATCCTTCACTGGAAATGGGAACCATGTAGAGGATGGTCAAGATACAGATGCCTGTCCCACCCCAGCCCAGCTATACTAAATATCAAGGAGTGGAACCCAGCAATCTGACTTATTTAAAGCACTACATACATTCCAGTGCCCAAGAAGTCTTGACAATAATACCACTAGCCTGATATCCAGAGGTCTGGGTATGGTCTTGACTGTAGTACAAGGTCACACAGGTTGCTGGTGAGAAGCCAAGATCAGTTTGGTAGAGTACACTGCCAAAAGTCATAAAAACACAACTTGCTCAAAAATTTTAAACAAGGTGGGTTTTAGAGCCCAGACTTAGGTCTACCTTTTCATTGAAACCATCTGATTATGAGACCCCTCTGCCCTGCAGTAACCAATCCTACCCTTCTAGTGAAGGCACTAGCACAGATGAACAGAACCAGAGCCACTTCTCTGCTGAGCAAGAGCCTGCTTCCTTTCCACATCACTACTCTAGACAAACTGTTCCTTATCACCCATGCTGAACATTAACACAATCCTCCAATTTGAGATCCAATCCCAGAGTCTCCTAGAAATCTCTGAATTGTTGAATTTTAAGCCAGATGGAAACCTCAGGGGTCTTCTTGTTTACCCAACAGCTGGAGAGCCAGGTATGACAGCCAGGAGTGGGACAGGAAGCAGGATTGAACTGGTTGAATGAGAAGCTAAATATCCCATTAGGCTCCAGGGAAACTCCCCAAACTCTACAACTGTAAGGAGAAACCCCACATACCCCAGCAGATGGGCAGCCTAGCAGGAGCCTTTCATCCACTTAGCCTCAGTGTCTTCCTGTTGAGTTTGCTTTGTAAGGTTCATAGTGTTGTTTTGCTTGGTGATTTATTTCCCTTTTCTTGGAAATTAAGTATATGATGAATTTCCTCTTGGTGTGAATCCCAGAAGCCCAATGGGAGGGCTGGGCCCTAAGCCAGTGCTAGAAAGCATTTTCTTTCCAGCAGGACATAGGGGGCCTTTTATTCAATTTAGATCTTCTCTCCTTGAGACGGTTTTGTTTACTCTTGCTTCCCTGACTTATGATGGCCAGCCCATATATGTGTGCTAAGTAAATAAATGTATGAGTGATGAAAAAAATGAACTAACCTAATCTCAGTACCAGGAAGGGTAGAGAAAGATTTCAAGGGAGAGTTATGCCCAATCTATCTCAGAAAGAAATGCCTTTCTCCCAGGTTAGAAACTTTCCAGATATCCTACTATTCTCATCACTGACTACTGCATTTAGTAACCACAGTCCTCTGAAGAAGTTCCCCACTCTACACTACTGTTCCATTCAGTGAGAACACAAGAAGCCCAGTGAGTGACTCTTCTGACCCTTGGCCAAGTTCTCTGGGCTCATCAAGACATGAATTTCAGCATCTGAGGGAGCTGTTTAGGAAAAACAGGAAGTCCTCTTGGGGCTGGGCTGGGCTTGGGGCCAAGGGAGAGGAGACAATGTCCATTGTTCCAAGTTGTTTCTTCCTGCTCTTGCAGAGGGCTTATGCCCATGTCACAGAGCTCTCTTAATTAGGCTCCATTACTTCTTCACAAGACTTATCCTTCACAAACAACTGTGAATTCCTACAGGGTGAACCCCCAGGTTCACCCCTTTCCTCTGGTCATTCAAATCCCTGCCCATACCCCACAGTGCTAGGTAAAACTAACCCCAAAGTTGGAGTTTCTGTTATTGAAAAAAGATATGGGAATCCAAATGGGCATGGTAGTACACACTTGTAATTCCAACACTCTGGAGGATGAGGCAAGAGGATTACAAGTTTGAACACAGCCTGGGCAATTTAGCAATTTAGAGCCTGTCTCAAAATAAAAAGTAAAAAGGGATGAAAATGTGTGAAGGTCCTGGGCTCAATCCTCAGTACCACAAAAAAAAAAAAATGAAGTGAGATCCAGAAATAAAGTTAGATGTCCCAAGGTCATAAAATGAAAAGGTACCCAGCCAGATCTCAAACTCAGAGGCTCCCATATAGAGAGAGCCAGCATTCTTGTGACAAAATAAGTGTCTCTACTCAGTACAGAAAAGGCTCCTTCTAGAGGTAGGCATTGGTCATACCCAAATCAGAACCCCTGGGTATGTGACTCCTACTCAAATATGAGTGGGCTGCACTGACAGGGAACTTGAGTCTCTAAAGAGCCCTTATGGGAGCCTCAAGGCCTCACGGAGCCACAAGCCATTCACACTGCCTCCT